ATTTTCACACCATTCTCAATTCTCTCTCTAACTTCTTTCTCTCTCTAACCCATTCCACCATTCCAACCCCCCCCCCCCCTAAACCCTAGGGAACCCCCTAGCACCTGAAGGAAATCCCAAGGCTCCCGGAGTCCCGAGAAAAAGGGTCTTTTGGTTTGGAAACGCTGCTCCAAGCGAAGTCTCATTTTCTATAAAACCCGTTGTTCTGCTGAAGGAAATTGTTTCGATAGTAACGAAGCATTGTCTAAGTTTGGAATCACCATCTTATCAGGTGAGTGCAAAGTTACTTTCATCTTACACATATATATGAAGTATTATATATAAACTACATGCTAAGTGTACATATTATCTGAATACTTGCTGCCTATGCTGGATGAATGATTTTATACATGTTTTAAATGATTTAAACTGTATATGCATTTTATATCTATAAAAATATTGGGGTAAAACATGAGTAGATGTAATAGACGATGTGTGATAAAATGATGAGAGGCCTCGATGTTGTTGTTGTTGTTGATTCTGTCATCTAGCGGAGTATGGATGACGACCACAGACTCTTCTAGACAGTCCAATGGAACTCTAGTAGGCTCGCAACATGTAGGTGTTTGTGAACGATGTGTTCACCGGTGTACTCCATCCCCCACATAGATTCCTTAAAGACATTTATTACTGAGGAATCCCCTTAGCATTAGTGTCCATCCCAATGATTGATCCTTAGTCTAGGTCCCTTATGATAGGTGTTATAGGGGCGTAATGTGAGGATAACGGGAATGGGTAATCAGGTTATTGTTGGTCGATGAAATTAATAAACTTATTTATTGTGGGTTGAAAACCCTATGTGCTCACCAGGCTCCCAAGCCTGACCCACTCAGTTTCTCTTATTACAGGCAGTGGCGCACCAGCATAGATATGATGTTTGGTATGAGAGATTACGGATATAGTCCTATAGATATGAATAAATGTAGTAAAGCTTATATTGTACTGTTTATGCTTTTGATCTGTATCAAACATGACATCCCGATGTTTTTAATGAAATATATTTCTACGGAAATGCTTTGATAAATCTTTATCATATTTTATTATGGGAACGAATTCCGCAACACTTTTATTTAAAATGTTACTCTGATTTTTAAACAAAGCATAAACAAAATCGTTTTTTTTAGGCCGAGAAAATGGGGATGTCACAACCCTAACCGAACCACGTAAATATTGTGTCTTGTGTGTTTATAGTTTTGCTAGTTATCCGTTTTACTTCCTAACAAGTAAGAATGTATGTCTAGACATAAATGGAAGAATACGAATATGTTGCTAGACATAAATATAGATTAAGTGTTTATTGAGTTAAGTAATAGAAGATAAAGATTAGATGATCTCGTATGAAATAAAGAAATAGATTGTCCTTAGGATAAGTGTTATGTGACGAGTCACATAAAAAGATAGAGATATATAGATAGATCTTCCTTTGGGAACAAGATATTGAAGGTTCCTTTGAGGACAAAAAATAGAAGGTTCCTTTGGAGACAAGAGTGTGGTTCGTATGGGGAGATACAGATTTCTTTGGGAATTAGTGTATGGTTACGGGGAAGAGAGTATGATTCCTTCGAGAATGAGATCATGTCCCTACAAGAAAAGAGATTATGATTCCATTTGGGAATGAAGATTGATGGTTGATGATGGAATTCAAATTGTGTGAGGATAGAGAAGGTAGTGAAAAGGTTCCCTCAGAGGAACAAGAAAAGAGAGTTCTATTGAGAACTTAGAAGTAATACATGAGGGATTAAAGGAACCTAAGAGGGATTTTAGAGTATAAGTAAGATTAAGGATCCATGAGGGATCATAAGAGAGAAGAGTAAGTCTGAAAGAGTTCATATGACCATAAAGTGGGATGTTGTTTCCCTTAGAGAATAATTGTGATCAGAGTATGAGATATGACTATTAGGTCTAGATTAGAAAGAACATTGACACACTAGCATTAAGAATAGAGAGAGATGAAGAGTAAGCAGAGCATGTGAAGACATGCTAAAAGATATAGAAGAATAAAGAAGAGAAATAATAAAGAATAAAGTAAGAGATAGAGAAGAAACAAAGTATAGAAAAGTGATATTAGAGATGATATAGAGGTAGAGACAAAGGTAGATATACATATAAAGTTTAGATATAGTATAAGAAGAGAATGAGAAGAGGCTAAGAGAAGAGTATGAGAAATAGAGTAGTTGCTAGAAAAAAAGATAGATGGTATGAGAAAGAGTAGAAAGACAGATTAGAGAAGAAAGATAGAAGAGTTAAATGATAGAGTATGAGAAAGAGAAGCAAGAGGAATGATAAGAAAGATATAAGAATAACTCAGAAGACACATTATGTATAATATTGCACAGATTTTCTATTTTTGTAGGTTTAGGTTGTAGCAATTATGGTAACAGAAGAGAAGATAAGAGCACAAGGACAAGACTTAAATAGTAGGTTACTATTCATTGTATTTCCTTGTTGAAATTTTTTGTAAGATTTTATTGTAAACCCGTAGGCTAGGGATCTTGAGGAATTGCATGATAGAATTGTTTGGTTATATGATGCTTGATAGCCTAGGGCCTTTCTTTTATTAAATTGACATCATTACTGTGGTTGCTTATTGTATGCATCAAGGTTATATATATATATATATATATATATATATATATATATATATAACACATATATATATATATATATATATATATATATATATATATAAGATCTTATAGCCTGATAATGTTTGGTTGGCCTTATTTCTTGTTCTTGTTTGATAAAGGGCTTAGGGTAGGATTAGATATTCGAATGTATATAGGGTCCAATGTTATGTATGGCTAGCATTCACGACTGCAGTAGGGTTGGTGAAAGTTTCATGGATGAGTCGTGAGGGTCAGTCGGCCAATAGTGATGTATTTAGCCTTTCCTCTAAGAGTGTGGAATGAGCGTTCGTCTATGCTACTGAGTATTGTTAGGGTGATGTGATGATCCTTGAGACAAACACGGGTAGGTGTGGAAGGAAGTATGGGCCCGTACTACTGAAAGCATAGGACATTTTGCAACCTTCTTTTCATTACATCTCAAAAGCCCATTTACATCAATAGGAATTTTATAGTATGGAGAACAAAAGAGGTGTAGCAGGTTTAAGATCTCTTTTAGTTCGAATGGGATCTGGTTCCAAAGGTTGAATTGGAAGAGGAGAAAATATAGTAGGACCACTCAAATTCTCAGATGAAGTATTCACTGGAGTTGTTATAGTACATGGTTTTACAAGCCGATCTAAAGGAAAACTAGGATCCAAAATTCGAAGTTGGCTTATAATATCACAAGCTCTGTTCGCCTCTTCATCAAAATGACCAGTTTAAGTAACAGTTAAATCTTCATATTGTTCATCAACAATGGGATAAGGATCAATTGGACATACAACAGAAGGATCATTTCCACATATAGGGGAAGATTGATTCGGAAAACTAAGGTAATGATCAAATGAAATACATGAAATTTTAGAAAGTGCATCTTTCTCAATTGGTTCTAAAAACGGCATCATCCAATATTTTGATAAAGTTAACTTCATTCTATCATGAGAAATGTTTTCACCAATTGGAGAAATATCTTGCACTTCTTTATTAACTTGAGCATCATAATCTATTACTTCATCAACCACATTGTTACCAATCACAGGACAATCTTCCAACACAAGATATTTTGAAACAGAATGAAATTCCACATTTCTTTTATTTGCATAATCAAGAAGATCTTGATTTCCAGGAAACTAACACCATGCAATTTTGATGGTCCCGTCTATTTTTGGCTTCAAATCTTTAAAACTTTTAAACAAACTATCAATATCCAACATAAAATACTAAAACAAAACAAAAATATATAATATAAAAAAGAAAGTTTATATGATATAAGCATTTAAATAAAAAACCAATGAATCAGAAAATTGATAGACATAATAAAACAAGTATAAATTAAATTTTTTTGATCAAATGTGGATCATAAACTACATTTTTTTTATCATAAATATGAAAATATTAAGAGGGTGTTTGTATTGGCTTTTAAACTGATTTTTACTTTATCTTTTAGAAAAAGTCCAAAAAGATATTTGGGTAAAATGAAAATGACTTTTTAATCAACTTTTGCTATAGAGTAAATTCAAGCTTTTTGAAAAGTAACTTTTCCCTAGCTAAAACATTAAATTATATTTATAACCCCATCTAAAAGTTAAACTATATCCTTTTTAGTCATTTTACATGTAAAAGTTAAACCAAACACTTTAAATTTTGACTTTTTCCCTTCAAAAGCTAATCCAAATACATTTTAAAAAATAACTTTTACAAAAAGTTCTTTTACAAAAAGGACTTTTGCCCCACAAAAGCTAAGCCAAACACCCTCTAAATATTAGCTTTAAGGACTTCTCATTATCATGACCTTGAAAAGATTCGTTCATCATGGTTTTTCCTTTTGCTGAATCTATAACAAATTAAATAAATAAAATTACAAAACATATTATAAAAGTAATAAAAGAAATACTATAAAAATCAAAATACACCTTTATTTTGATGAATTTTATGCATCTTTTGATTCTTTTTACATTTCTCAAATTCTTCATTGGATTCAACTTCTTTTTAATTGTACTCAACTTCTTCATTGGAGTCAACTTCTTCATTAGACTCCGCTTCTCCATTGAACGTTGTATTTTAACGTTACCAACACTTACTTTATCTACATTATATATTAAGAAGATTAGTAAAATTCAACGGAAATAGAAATGACAAATATATAAAAATAAAATGGATCTTAAAATGTAAATATATATAAAAAAAATTAAAACTAATTATTGTGTACCTTGAGTAATTGGACGATTACTTTTCAAATTACTTCTCATAACAACAACAAGAGGTATGTGATCAATATCATCAAAACAAAGCAAAAATGAAATGACTTTAACTTAATAAAACTACACTATAAAAACTTATTAGGTCAACGAAAAACAATATACTATTAAAATGATAAACCTTCTACATAAGCTTCATATGATTCAATAACATCAACTTTATCATAACCTCCTTTCTTAGTTATCTCTTTCAATCTAATTTCATATTTTCCACAATCCCAGCAAGAACTACCAGGAAATGTTCTTTCTTCAGTCATAGTGGAATGAAGATATAGTAACTATATGATGCAAAAAAAATAAAAAAAAATAGATAAACATAATTAGGTTTAAAGAATAAATAAATCTACTAAATAAGGTAAATGTAATCAAAATAAAGCTTACAACAAGAAATGCGACTCGGCCCACATATTATAATGGAAGATCCACATTGAGTTTACATTTGCTTTGTTTCAAACATTTAATAACAAAGCTACACCAATCAAGATCCTTAAAAGACACATTTTCTTTAAGATTTTCAAAAAACTTTTGGTTGCATGTTCCCATTGTTGGAGCATCAATCATGATGGTAACATATGCAACCAAAAAATTGATTATAAAACTATCACCAAAATCAGAATCTTGATTAATAAAGGAAATCAACTCTTTAAGCCTAATTCTAGTATCCTTTTCATCCTTAACTGCGAATTGAGACCCACCAACTTTTAATAACAGGATCAAAATGATGACTTCTCAAAGGGACCTGCATTACAACATATCACATTGGTAATCCAAAAATATCATGTACACCCTTTATTGTTTGTGTATTTTCTGATTGTTAACTTGGAGAACATTTAAATTTGCATCATATTTCGCAAGAACCCAATAACATATATCCCTTTTAAAACTCTTTACAACAAAATCTTTGATAAAACCAAAACTGATATCTTCAATGGCTTTCTTTTGATTATCCTTAAGACTTGAATATGACTTAGAAATAGTACCAGAAGGATTTCTAAATGTCAAAATGACTTCTTTTAAAGGACTAGGTTCACATGTTGGTTGGGACACAAAATCATCATTTTCACTAGACTAAGAAACATTAAGCTTTTTTTGTTAGAAACAAAACTCTTGTTCCGAGAAGAAAGATCTATCACTTCTGTTTTTATAGTTTTTTTATTAGAAAAAATAAAATTTGTTCTCAGAAGATAGAATTATAACATCACTACTAGACTTTTTAGATTCTCTAGGAAGAGACAACCTCTTCCTCTTCTTACTAGGCTCTTCACATAAAAAAAGAATAAAAATGTTTTACATGATTCAAATAATATTTATACATTTTGTGCATAATTTGTGAGGATCAGAGTATAGAATAACAAATATGATTCAAATCAACTGAAGATATAACACATTAGAAGATATTTAAGAACATTTATTTAACATATGATAAAAAGAATAAGAAATAAAAAAATAATGAAAACTATGGTTTACTGATTTGATTCATAAATTTGATGAATATATAAGAAGAATGATGAAATCGAAGCTATAAAGAGAATAAACATAAGCATAAACTAATTTGAAGAAATTTATATCAACTACTGTATCTAGAAATTTAGCCCGATATAAAAAAAAACTATGATCAAACATTAAATAAAGAGAAATAGGGTTTACCTGCTTCCAATATAGAATCTATGCAAGGGTTTGAAGAAATGGGTCGGATAAATACCACGAAACCACCAATTGTAGACAATTTTGTAACACAAAATGTTTTGAGACTATTACGAACCAAAATACTTCAATGACGATCGATTTAATAAGAAATTTTGAAAAATAACAGAAGAATAAAAGTATAAAATTGATTTGAACTTACTTTGAAGAAGATCTATAACAAAAAGCTTCGAAAATCGATCGACTATAGCTCGCGAGAATGAACTGATTGAGGGTTTAGGAATGAAGAAATATTTTGATTCCAATGAATTCGACTGGTATATTGATATAAGATCAAATAACGAAAATGCCCCGATATATCTAACCATTACAAGGAATAATGCCAAAAGTTCCATTTATTTACAAAAATGCCACCAATTTTTTTTAATAAAAATAAATAAAATCAAATTATTTTCGGAGCTTAGGTACTAAACATCTGAAATATATCGTTTTAACTTAGTAAATATACAATGTTCGATTTTCATTTGCTAATTATACCATCCCCATCGCATTTATTTCCTCCATTACAATTAACCATCCATCTTTTTTTTTTCTATATTATCGTTTATTACTTCACCTTAGTGAACACTATTGTTTTCCACCATCGCGAAGGTCAAAGATAATCCATATTTTTTATTTTCCTGTGAAAGTTATTGCTTCAATCCTTAATCTACACCTGAAGTGGTAAACGTAAATCCCCTAATCATAATGTTTAGCTGATAAAACGACATAGTTTCCTGAGGTTTAGTATCAAACTATAGGTGAGACTGTAATATATATTCACAATTGTCATATATATATATATATATATATATATATATATATATATATATATATATATATAGACACACACACACACACACTATAAGAAGACTGGGCAACAGCGGCTATGTCTGTCGTCGCTAAAGGTTCGGTATGTCGCCGCTAATACCTTTAGAGGCGACACGTCGCTGCAAATACGTCGCCGGTAATACCTCGTCGCTAATACTCCTAGAGTCACCGCTAAAGGTTGACCATCGCCGCTAATGATATATCGCCGCTCATACAGGTTGTCGCCACTAATACTACATCGCCGCTAATACAGTTTTGTCGCCACAAAAGATGTCGCCGCTAATACAGTTTTGGTTTTTTTTTTTTTTAAATTATTTTATTTATTTAACATTATATTCATAATAAAAACAATATAGCATTTATAAAATCTGATAACTTTTTATAGAAATATTAATCCATACACAACCAATCCAAAATATTAATCCATACCATTCTAAAGTATTTTTCCAAATTACAAAATATTTTATAAAATCTTAAAGTAACTACTTGTTCTCATCGTTTCCTTCATTATCTGCAGGCCCCCCAATTTTCAACGCTTTTTCTACAACCGTTGGATTAAAAACAAATCGGACGGATGTGGGTAAGTTGACGCGGATCACCATTTGCGAGTATTACCGACGACCACTTTAGCGGTGACAAAGGGCAATAGCGGTAACATGTAACGTGTCAATTGCATGTCGCCGCTAAAGGGATCGCCGGTAATGCCAATATTTCTTGTAGTGATATATATATATATATATATATATATATATATATATATATATATATAATATATATATATATATATATATATATATATATATATATATATATATATATATATATATATAATGTCGGATCAGTTTATTTAGCATCATAGTCATGTTATTTCCAAATGAAGTGTGTGAAGACGGATGGGGTTAGGCACAATGCTAGTGAGTTGTTTCCCTCATACGTATGTTTCTAAAGCTTACTTTTTCGACTACTCACCAACACTTGCACATGCATACCACCATCTACTACACTCGCACTTTGCAGTTGTGTCTTGTTGCTTTCATCTACACAAACAAAATCAAACATGCATCTTCTTAAAACTATCTTTACTATAAAATCTTAGCATACCATTATAATACATCAGTCAGATACATCCTATTCTTGCAACAATTAGGTGTTTTAACCATATTAAGTGTTTATCAGTAACTTACTGCACAATGAGTGAGAGAACGTAACTGTTTTGTTATGGTAACTTGAAAAAATAAAAAATTAATATAAAATCAGTTGGTTATTTTTATATTAAACATGACACAAAAGTTTATAATTGTTATTTAAGTTTATTGACGTTGATCAATGGAATCTAATTAGATTAGTATAAAGAGCCATTTAATAACTATGAGGATGAACATATATAACAAAAGTTTTAATAGATAAAACTTATATAGTTTGTGTTTTATCAAATTGTTATAAGTTGAATGTTATCAATAAATATATATAGTATATCGTATGACCATACACATTCCTTGTCGCATGTATAAACTACTCAATCCAACCTAGAAGTTTGGGACATAGTCCTTAAGATCGTAGATTCAATGCATCACCATATGAATTGCATGCAACAAGTTGTGGATTGGATGTACGTTTCATTGATTAACCAATATAACAATCTGGTAAGGACATAAAACTGTATGATTTCTAAGTGAAACTTGTGAATCCCATTAATTATAACATCTGTAAATTGGTTTTTAATAATAAATAATTCACAACAACGCATATGAATTTTATATATCATTATGAGTCGCCCATGAGAATATATATATATATATATATATATATATATATATATATATATATATATATATATATATATATATATATATATATATATATATATATATATAGGGGATAGTGAATATACATTACAGCTCCACCTAAGCTTAGGTACTAAACCTCTAAAATATGTTATTTTAACATGTTAAATATGTCCGGTTTGGTTTCAATTGGTAAATATATCATCATCCATTACATTTCTTTCTTTCACTATTGTTTTACCATCTTTGTTTTCTTTCCTCAATTATCGTTTATTACTTCACCCAAGTGAACATTACGAAACCCTAAACCCTAAATTTATACCCTAAACCCTAAAACTAAACCCTAAACCCTAAATCTAAACCCTAAACCCTAACCCTTACCCTAAACCCTAAACCCTAAACCCTATATCTAAACCCTAAACCCTAAACCTAAACCTAAACCCTAAACCTTAAACCTAAACCTAAACCTAAACCCTAAACCCTAAACCCTATTGTGTCGATCTTGAATTTACATCTTGAAGTATTAACCGTGAATCTATTAACCGTAATCTTTAGATAGTAAAACAATGTTTTTTCAAGAGGTTTAGTACCTAAGCTTAGGTGAGACTGTAATGTATATTCCGTTTTCCCATATATATATATATATATATATATATATATATATATATATATATATATATATATATATATATATATATATATATATACTAGGTGTGAGACCCGTGTACTACACGAGTTTATTAAAAATAAAAATTTAATATCAATATTTAAACAATAAATTTAATACGAATATTTAATATCAATATCAATTTTAGAGCTCTCATTACCTATGACATTTATTATATTATAAATATATCAACTCTTTTTTAAGGAAACATTTATTTCTCTCAATATTGTTATTAAAAATAAAAATTTAATATCAATATTTAAACGTTAAATTTAATATCAATATCAATTTT